GTTAATTTAAACAAAAAAAAAAAAAAAAGCATGGAATTATTTTTTTTTTTTTTATGTATTTTGAGAGTTAGACTATTTAAATGTGTAAAATAATTGGAGTCATTTGTGTTAATCAGTGTTGAATTGGGTAGTCAAACATTAATGGAATTGTTAGTGATAGCTATTTTAAATGACGTGTCGTCTAATAATGTATATAAAGAAAATATGGGATATGATGTACCAAAAATTTATGAAAGAATAACAATGGATATCACTAGAGGTGTCAAAATGGCAGAACTATTATTTCCTCTCTCAATTTATTATTATTATTATTTTTAATTAAATTAAATTAATTTTTTTTAACGCGATACGACTATAAGACCGTGGTAAGGCTATTTAAAACTTCGGGAAATAACAAATAGGATTTTCAATCCATAATTTATATTAATTGAAGAGGTATACATTTCAAACATGTACAAAACTTTCTTTGTGTTATTATTTACTATTTCATTCCATTTTAGTGCAAGAATTTTAAATTTTGGGGGTTCATCTAATGTCAATCTTTCTAGAATTTTCAGACGAGCTAGCGTGAGTAATATACCGGTAACGTGCTAGTCTTATGACTATGTGTGTCACTACATGAAAAGACTATGCAGTCATTGAGGGATTAAATTTAAATTAGAAATAGAAAAAAGATAATTTTCGAGCGACGATTTGGTAATGTTAATGGATATAAGCATTTTATGTGTTCCTTTTATTTAATTATAGGCCAGAATACAAAATACTAATCCGTTACATTTAACTAAAGGTTTGCTGGTTTATTTATCTAATTTTATTTCCAATTGGTGGGATTTCTTTGATACTTCAAGGTTAGTTCAAAAAGAAAAGGGAGGGGAAAAAAAAGGTTTATTCGAAAAATAGTTTATGATCTCTATGCTAGGATCAATTAAATTTTAATCCTTATTAATTAGGCACAGAGCGGGTGACTTGGTAGGTTTTTGGGTATCTAATACATGCTAGTTTAATTGTGACATGTCTTATGTCAATTAGGATCAGAGTTAAAAGGATGGTTCCAATTAATCAAAAAAATCAGCACCAGTTGTTTCCATTCTAAGTGCCACTGTAATCTTAAGGGATAAAATTTCATATCGAATAAAGATGAAAATATAGATTCACTTATATGGTTTTGGGCTACTCCTCTTAATAAATTTGATTTTTTAAAATGAAACCCCAAGTTTGAAGACGGTATTAGAGTTCATTAAGCTCCAGCGAGCAATTCGATCTGATTAAGACAAAAATAAATAAATAAAAATGAGCACACGAATTTCAAGATTAATTTGCTGAAACGAGTCACTATCTTACGGAGAATGTTAAGTGATAAATCTCGTATCGAATGAAGATGAAAGACCAATTTATAAGAATTTGAGCTACTCTTAATATGATTGACCTTTTCAGATGGAAACTCAAATTTTAATATGATATCAGAGTACATTAAACTCTAACAAGCATTTTGATCCGATTAAAAAAAATGTTGCAAGACAACATGTAATATCAATTATCACATTGTTCGTAATATGAACGGAAACGATTATCATTGTCATAACATATTCCTAACCCTTCAACCATTATCATGACAATGACCAACAAATTTTGAAATAATTCGTTAATAAATAACATAAAATGTATACTCATTTAATAAGTACTAACACGAGTAGTTCATATAAGACATACACAACAGAAAATAACAGAATCTAATTTACAGTTAATGAAAAATAACATAACTACATAAAAGGAAAATCAGTAAACTAGCCCACTATGTAAGTTTTCGAAAACCTGCTGATTATCAATTAATAGATACAAAGATTGCCCCTCATAAGGTGGCCGAATTGGTGGAGTAGGTGAGCATGGAAGTCTTTGATAACGAGTTCTTCCCCTTACCAATATTTTCTTGGTCGAATTTGTTGCACAGGGCCTGTCTAATGCGGTTTACCTAACTGGCATGGTTTGCAGGTTATTGCGTTAGCTCGAGGGTTTACCCGGTACACACTCAAAGGGTAGTGGCTGCGGTTTCCTCCTTCATTAAAAAAATAAAATAAAATGGATTTGAAAAATGTAATTGGAAAGAATAATGCTCCTTTGCCAGAGTCAATGACAAGAGATGAGGTGATAGGGTGTTGTGGCAAGATGGTTTTTTTTTTTTTTTTTTTTTTCTCATTTTTTTTTAAAAATTTCCAATCATGTATTGACACGTGTTCCTTTTTATCATTGAGTCGGTCATTGATTCAGCCACTGTAACAAGATTGAATTGTAAAAACAACATAATACTGTAATGTTATTGATAAATACATATTTCATGTTGCAATAGATCGAACAAACAAATACACAAACATTGTTGAAAATTAAGGAAAGAAGATAATTCCGAACAGTTTTAAATCGTAATGTAATTCTTATAATTAATAGAAAAATTACCTCGAACGTAATTTACAATGAACTTTAGCGAACATGACTGGATTAGATCCCTCGAGATTTCAGGATTGAATCTGCTTCAATATAGGTTTCTGTTAAAAAATTTCCTTTTGTCGCCAGCAGTTGTATGGAATTTATTATTATTATTATTTTTTCCTAACAAGGTAAATGTGATGTGAAGGATAACTATAGTATTTATTTTCTGCACTATATTGTCATGGTACTTAAGGCCCTCAATCTTTGCTCTTTACAACACTGATATCTCCAATTTTTTTTTAGCGCATTTTGATCTTCAACTTTCACTAATTAGCACAACTTGTATCTGCTAACCATATTTGTCTAAAAGGTCCATTAGAAAGGCATAAAATGACTTAAATTACCCCTCATATTTTTACAAAAATATGTTGGATGCTTCTCATCAATAGAGCAAGAAGAGGAGTCAGCCAAAAAGACATATCACCAAAAGTATAAATACAAAAGTGCGATGAACCTACAAGAAATTGAGAATCAGGTTAATAGATTGACCTAACATCAATCTTTAATTCCTATCGTTCATCTTCCTCATATTTCATCTTCACCATCAAATCCTTTCGTGCAACCATCAATTAGCATTGTTTAGTGATGCATCCCATATCAAGAGAAGAAGTTGAGAAACATTTTTAGTGTGTGAAGACTTCAATTCGATGTGTTCAATGGCTCACATTTTAAGGTTGTGCCTTCAGATATCATAATGAATCTCCATTTACATTGAATCGAGAGAATCTCATTCGTAATTTCAAATACGAATTGTGAAATTATGAGCTAGATAAAGAGAGTAAACCTAAGTTTCAAATATCTAAGTTGGTTGAGTTATGCTGATATTGACCGAGAGTAGAAGGTGATGTATTTATATTGTAGTGACTGTAGATTCGTTTTCTATTGATTATACCTATTTCTATCTCGACTACTTAACGACCATTTTTGTAATGCTCTGATCCGAATAGACCGAAACCTCACTAGAATAATGGTATCTTATCCGTAGATTTAATAATTAACTATACTTTTAGTGGAAAACATAAAGAGTTAATTTAAGAATCTACTTAAAAATTAAGTCTTTTTTTTTCCCCTTTAAACAATACATTTTTTCCCATGCATATTACATATTTTATCACATAGATAATGGCATGCAAGTGTTTACCAATTAAATAAAATTTTCATGTATGCACATCTATAAACGGTAAATAAAATTAAGCTTTTTTATTTTTCTATTTCGCATAGCAAGTGTTATAAAAAGGGTTAATAGGACAAAACGCCCCTACGTTTGACACTTATTGCGAAAAACGTCCATACGTTTTATTTTTTTGCATTTTCGTTCTTATTTCAACGTTTCATTGCAGAAAACGTCATTTTCACCATTTTTGAATGTAAAATGACCAAAATACTCTCCTATTTAAATAAACCAAAACAAGAAAAGAAAAATAAAGAATAAATTGCAATCTTACTCTTAAATGTTTTAAAAAGTGCAAGTGAGCTCAAATAATTAATAAAAGGCTTAATAGCACAAGACGTCCCTACGTTTGACCTGTAGTATGCAAACGTCCATACGTTTCAAATTGATAAAAATGACATTTTTCGCAATAAAACGTGAAAATAGAGATGAAAATGCAAAAAAAAATTGAAACGTATGGACGTTTTCCATAATAAATATCAAACGTAGGGATGTTTTCCACAAAAAGTGCCAAATGTAGGGACTTTTTTTTGCTATTAGATCTTATTAAAATTGAAACCATTGTCAAACCATCAAACCTCCATATCATTTCCAAAATACCATTATCCAAACTCTGCGTGACACCACCTATTTCGAAGAGATCCATGTCATTTTTAACACACTAATCGACTATACTACCAGGATTCTTCTCTTCATGGTTTTAAAACATCAACAGATGGTTCAACGGTATGGAGGTTTGACAATTTGGGCGATGGTTGATCGGAGTTTTTTCATTTCTAAGGTCACAGTCCCATTTGAAGAAGAAGAGACCATGAAGAGAAGCACCATGATGAGTATAGTCGATTAGTGTATTGGAAATGACATGGATCTCTTCGAATAGGTGGTGCCACTGGAGTTTAGATGATGGTATTTTGGAAATAGTATGGAGGTTCAGCGGTTTGACATTAGTTTCAATTTTAATAAGGCCTAATAGCACAAAATATCCATACGTTTGACACTTCTTGCGGAAAACGTTCCTACCTTTGACACTTTTTGTAGAAAGCGTCCATGCCTTTTTTTTTTTTTTGCAATTTCATCCCTATTTTCACGTTTCATTGCAGAAAACATCATTTTCATCAATTTGAAATGTAGGGACGTTTTGCACACTACAGTTCAAACGTACGGGCGTTTTGTTCTATTAGGCATTTTAATAATTATTTGGACTCACTTGCACTTTTTAAAATATTTGGGAGTAAGATTGCAATTTATTCTTTATTATTATTATTTTTTGGTTTTATTTAAATAGAAGGGTATTTTGATCATTTTACATTCAAAAATGGTGAAAATGACATTTTTCTGTAATGAAACGTTGAAATAATGACGAAAATGCAAAAAAAGTAAAATTTAGGGACTTTTTCGCAATAAGTGCTAATGTATGGACGTTTTATGCTATTAACCCTTTATAAAAACGAGCGATAGAAGAGTGCTCAAGGTGGAGCCAGGGAAATATACCTTAAGAAATCAATTGGGAAACTAACTGGGTTACTAAACTGCCAACAACGTTTTCATAATAAACTATCTTTATGCTTAAGAAACCTTACAAAAATTTGGATTTCAATTACCCTCTAGAATTTACAAATTAAGCTTCCTCATAATTTGCCTGATAAGTGTAGTTTATACATTTATTTAAGGTTTTAAAACGATGGTATTTAGTTACTTCTTGGATGACTTATGGTCTAAATTGTTGAACTTGGTGTTGAATAAGTAAAATTCAATTATGGTACAAGAAATTGAAAGAAACAAGAAAAAGGTCTAAATTGTAAGAGATCCAAAGTTTAAAGACTAAAGTACAAATACTCAAAAGTTGTATCGAACCTCATGATGAAGATTCAAGAGTGTTCAAAATTGATTGGATAAAGAAAGATATCAAAGGGATGAAACGTAATCAAAGTATGATCGTACATCAATTTTCAACCCAAAAAAAGTTATACATCAATTTAAGCCTCATACTGATACCCATTTTTAACATAACAAATGATCGAATTTGAAAATGATGTCTAAATCAAAGTTGTAGCTCTTTGAGTTAGCTTTTCAATGCATCTTGAATCGCCTCAATCAGACATCGAGAAAGAAAATTATGATAAAAAGACTGAAAGGGGTGCTATCTGTCGGAAAGGTGGCGCCGTGGCGCCAGATTCAGGGTGCTGCGGCGCTGGGAGATTCAGAAAGATGGCGCTGCGGCGCCACTGTTGTGTCTAAAATAGTCTTATTTATGCATTTTAGGTTTAACATACAAGCCTGAGCATCCTTTTTTGTTAACTTTCAATAGGGGAAAAAATAAAAAATCCAATATCTTGCATATATTAGGATGTCAATACTCGTGGGCAACTTGCTCAATTCTTCCATTTTTCTTTCTTGCCGTCTTTATTATTTTTACTATTTCTTATGTTTTCTAAGATTTCATCTCAAATTTCCCTCATGTATTCTAGACTAGTATTTAAAGCCCTTAAATTTGACCTTGATTGTTATAGTAGTAGAATCTTGGCAAAGAAGTTTCTAGAGGTCCTACGGCTCCTACAATAGTGAATAAAAATTATTTTCACATAGACACCATAACTTTGCACGTTTCTTCCGCATTATATTCCCTATAATATCTATTACTGTATACTCCTTCCTCAATGCATATTTGATGCATTGAAATAATTCTTTACTCCTAAATGTTCAGTCTATGCCTTAATACATTTTAGGGAGAACCAATTAGTTCTAAGTTCGAGTAGCATTTCACCCTAATCACAACTCATTATCTAGTTCTTCAACGAGTAGAAGCTTCATCTAGATAATGGATAGAAACACCCAACTTCAGGTCCATAAGTTGTGACAATTGTACCTATGAAGATTTGCTGCTTATTTTTTTATTTTATTTTATTTTTAAATAATTTGTTCTTATTTTGGAGTCTCAAAGGTTTGTACTACTAAAAAGGATTAAAAAGTACAATGAGAAAATTTTATCTTTCTTTTTAATAGTATTGTCTGGCATTTTACATGAATTAAGCTGGTGTACTAGATGAATTTTGACACCCCGATTGACTTACACTCATATTGGTATGGGACTCGTGCCAACCTCATGTGAATACAAAATGTAAAAAATTGCACCCTACCCACCTCGATTGTGAGTGTAGATCAATCGGGGTGTGAAAATTCATCTGACACTCCAGCATGATTGATTTTACATTCTACCCAATTAAGTCCATGTTTGATGGTCATTTTTCTGGAAAATTATTGTTTTAAATAGTGAACTTTTTGAGAATATGTAGTTAAAAAGTAAGGAAAAATTTAGAGTTTACGTATAACATATTTTATTTTATGAATGTATAATTAAAAATGAGTATGTATAAGATATGTTAGAGTAGAGTGGCTGGATTCATGTGATTAAAGAACAAAGAAATGCCACTAAATTTTTGAAATGAAAGGAAAAATTGTCTAGTCATGGCCAACGTAACATGTGATTGACATTGTATTAATATATTTTTATTACGATTAAAACCTTGATTAATGCAAAGAAAGAAGAACCCTTAATTATTGCAACAAAATAACCAGTTACACATGCACCTTTCTATATTAACACTCCAAGCTTTGCCTTTTCCTGGTTTTACTTCAAAGTTTCAAAGCCCTCTTTTTTCTTTTGGGGGGGGGAGGGGGGATGGAAAAGTAGCAGAATACCTCGAATCTAAGCTACACCCTCAACCCTCCATATAATCTGTCCCTTATTTTTATTTATTTATTTATTTATTTTTTTCAAAATTTCTTATAGTTAATTTCTTCAATAATCTAGATCGTTTATAATTAATAACGCATTTTATTAGCTTTTATTTATTTTTTTAATTTTAATTTTTTATTTTTCCCCTTGCTTAAAAGGAATATGATTAAAATTCCATCCTATTTCCAAGGCAGGAGAATGAGCACCAAATTTAGAGGAAAAAAACATATATATTCTAGCATTCCTCATGTTAGAAGATAATTTTCTATGTATTAATATATATATTTAAGAAAAAGAGTTAAAGTAACTAAATAAATAAATTCATCATCTATATAATAATTTCATGAAAGGCTTTTGAACTCAATCATCTCCTCACCAATCTATGAAAATTATGTATACTCAGGGAGAGATGCAAGAAGTTGCTGTTTTACCATGTGAAAAAAATATGTATGTAAAAAAATATTTTTAGTGGAATTTTTTTATGCATATGAGAACAGTTCAATTTTTTTTATCCACGTATGGCTCCGCCTCTGTTTATACTGTACACACCAATTATTTGATGGAAAAAAAAAATATGGGCATGTTCAGTAATGATTATGAGCATTGATTTTTTACCGTTAGAGAGAAAAAATGGGTCTCACCTTTAAGTAAAGAGATCCAAAATGACAGTTAAAATAGTGAAATAACGATCAAAAAATTAATTTTTTGAAATGAAAAATTGCTTTCAAACTGGGCTATATCTATATGGTCGGCCGATTGACAGAAAATTTAAATAAATTGTTTCTCCTGATACTAAGAGGTTGATTTTTCAGTATTTGAATATAGTACACGGAGTCTTCAATTTTAGTTTCTCAGTCATTTATTTATAAATTCTTTTCTAGCTAATTATTTAAAAGAATTCTACATAGCTAGACAAGAGGGAGTTTAAATAAACATCCTCTTAAGAAATTTAAATTTTTGAACAAAATATCAACGCACTATATAAAATATTGGTGTTCCAAAAATATGTACTTTTAATGTATATATCTCTATATTATCCACAATTAATTCTTAATCTACTTTATTTAATTCTAAACGCACTATTGTTATTCATAAAAACTCCCCTCCACCAAATGAAAACAAACAAAAATAAACACAAGGTGTCACAAAAATTCCGGGCCATCATCTCACTTGAACAATTCCCAAGACACACATGTGCCGATCCCACCGCCGCTGCATGAGCCACCACAATACGTATATAAACTCACTGCACCACCTCGTCCTCCTCCTCAGCCCTTACTCTCCCGTCTAACGTTCTCTCTCTGAAACCATCGCGTTCTCTATCTAACATGGATACTTCTGCAACCCATCTTCTGAAAGATGAGCTCGATATAGTGATACCCACTATTAGGAATCTTGATTTCTTGGAAATGTGGAGACCATTTTTCGAGCCTTACCATTTGATCATAGTACAAGATGGTGATCCATCCAAGACAATCAAGGTCCCTGATGGGTTTGATTATGAGTTGTATAATCGAAATGACATCAATAAGATTTTGGGTCCTAAGGCCTCCTGCATTTCCTTCAAGGATTCAGCCTGCAGATGCTTTGGGTATATGGTCTCCAAGAAGAAGTATATCTTCACCATTGATGATGATTGCTTTGTAAGTTTTAAAAAAATTGACTTCTTTTTCCTCGTAATCATGTTTAAATATCAAGTTTTACAATACTTAGTTTGAGAACAACAGTCTGATCATGGTCATTTGAACTTGGATGGAATATTTATTGTTTTTATAACTAAGGGATGTGGAAATCTACCTTCACATTAGACACTAGATGTTTGATGATCTTGTTCTTAATTACGTGCATATATACTTGATTGGACATTTATTGCTGGTTTTCTAACTTAGGGTTATATGATTTGCTTTTTGGCTAGTTGAGACTAATATTTTGCTAATTGGATTTTCCTTCATTAAAGGTTTGTGACCATTTAGTAGCTCTATACATGTGAACATGTTTCTTTTATACGTTAAAGTTTACATCACTCGTAAAAGGTTTGCACCGTTCCTAAAAAGCCGATATTTAAGGAGAGAGTTTCTATTTGTACAGAATTCCAGTTCACAGAATTCTATCAGAAGAAATACATGTGTAGGCCCCATGCGTGATAAGAAAATGTCAAAAAATATCATCCACCCAACCCAGTGTGAGTTGTCTGGAAAAAATCTATGAACTGGAATTTCTATATTTAAGGGTAAGTGATGTCAAAGTCATTGCAACATTGGCATCACGTTCGAAAGTTCTTTGTGGGGGAATCCACGATCTTGACACTTGACCTGGAAATTGCTACTTCTATTAATAAACTGGTTTCGTGAGTCACCCAACAGGAAGATGTCTTAATTGGTAGATAATAATGGACTTGATTATAAATCTCACATGATATATTTGTTCGTAACATTTCTTCACTACGATACATAAATGTAATGGCTTGCATTTGTAACCAAAATGGCGAGCATTTGATTTGTTCCTTGCTTTCCAGCACAAAAAGATAGTAGCTAAGTGAATACTTCTCCATTGTCAGCGTTGCTTATATGGAAAAGGACTAGTTTTACAATTTTTACCTACTCGTGAAAATTAGAAATTCATAGTACAAATAGCTTGTCCTGTTTTTAAATTTATTGATTTTATGGTCATTTTTTTTTTTCTTTTTCATATTGTATCTTGATAGGCTTACTGGAATCGTGAAAATTTTATAAACTCTTAGGTTGCGAAAGACCCTTCTGGCAAAGAAATCAATGCCCTTTCACAGCATATCAAGAATCTCCTCTGCCCGTCAACACCAAATTTCTTCAATACGTTATACGATCCTTTCCGTGAGGGTGCAGATTTTGTTCGTGGATATCCTTTCAGCCTTCGCGAGGGTGTGCCAACGGCTGTTTCTCATGGCCTTTGGATGAACATTCCGGATTATGATGCACCTACACAACTTGTGAAACCTCTTGAGAGGAATAAAAGGTACCCCATATTCGAAACTAATGTTATTTTGAAGTTATCGTTCTTCTTTTACACGTTCATTTGAAGCATGATTCTTGAATTTGTTTCTGGTTTTTTAGGTATGTTGATGCAGTTTTGACAATACCAAAGGGAACCCTCTTTCCCATGTGTGGAATGAATTTGGCATTCGACCGTGATCTTATTGGTCCTGCAATGTACTTTGGACTCATGGGAGATGGCCAACCGATTGGCCGATATGACGATATGTGGGCTGGCTGGTGCGTCAAGGTATAATCTTTACGCGTTTCATAAC